GAACATTGAAGCCGATGCAGAGCTGGGCATGCCGCTGGATCTGGTGGGAATGCCGGGCGTGTTTGACGGAGACGAGCGATGTGAGTGTCTCCCTTCTTCATGTTGAAGAATTTCGTGGTAGCAATCATCTGACCAGGGACATTGCCTCGCAGCAATCCAAGCATCATCACAGCCACCACCCGTCCACCCGCACGATCGAGCCCTCCTCAGGCCCATCGCCGCCCTGGGCAAGCCCAAGGTCCCCGAGGCAAACGTCTCCTTCCTCCGCCGAACGGAATACATCTCGTCCCTGATGCCGAAGCGCCTCGAGGCGAACCACCCCAGAGCGCTGCTGGCCAAGAACCGGCGGCCGGCTAAGCGCCCGGAGGCCGCCGCCGACTCGCCGCAGGTCATCAAGCGCAAGATCGACAAGAGCTTCGAGATCGCCGAGCAGGACCTCAAGGACCCCAAGCGCGTCAAGCACCCGTCCAAGAAGCACCTCAAGCTCGTCGACGCCGCGCCCCTGCTGCCGGACCTGGACGCGTTCCCCGACTCGGGCGCCTACGTCACCATCAAGTTCCTCACGAACCCCGTCTCCAGCTCGAACGAGTACGACACGCGCCTGCGCAGCGGCCTGTTCCGGCCGATAGACCGCACGGCGGCCGAGGAGGCCGCGCTCGAGGCCGCCATGGAGGCCTACACCCAGGACCCCGTCAACAACCCGAAGCCGGCCAACCTGATGAACTACGACTTCTACCTCGGCCAGACCCGCGCCGACGCCGACCGCTTCCGCCGCAAGTTCGACGTCGACGACCCCGGCCACGACGACGAGGACCTGTACACGCACAAGGGCGACGCCGGCGGCCACTTCCAGTTCAACAGGATCCGCGCGTACGAAACCGCCCAGGAGACGGAGCTCGACCACCCGACCAAGTACGAGGACGAAATCATCCTGGCCGTCAACGACGACGACGCGTACCCCAAGCAAAAGGCCGTCTACTACTACCCCATTATGCAAAAGTCCACCATCCGGCCCCAGCGCACCAAGAACATTGCGCGCACAAACTACGGCCTGGCCGAGGACGACGAGGTGCAGGTCGTCGACCAACTCGAGCTCACCGTCGAGGATCCCACCGAGGAGATGCGCGGCGCCATGAAGATGTACGCCGAGCACCCCCTCGGCTGGGACCAGGAGGAG